CAACGAATTTTAATAAATTAAGAATAATTACATTTTTCGAAAAATTTGATTAAAATTGTACTAAAAATAAATTGAATGTCTGTAAAAAATTTGACTATTTATGAAAATAATTGAATTCTTGCGAAGAATTTTTTTTAAATTTTCAAAAATATTTAAATTCTTGTAAAAAATTAACAGGAATTCAATTATTTTAAAAAATTTTATAATAAAATTTTTGGCATAAATTAAAAATAAAAAAATTCTTAGCAGATCTTCAATTACTTTCAGAAATTTTAATAAAATTTTTCGCAAGAATTTAAATATTTTCGTAAAGTAATAAAAATCTTTGCAGAAATCCAATTATTTTCAAAAGTCTTAATAAAATTCTTTGTAAGAATTCAATTATTTTCAAAAATATCAGAATTTTAGCAGAAATTAAAGCATTTTAAAATGTTTTGATAAAACTTTTTTTGTTGAAATTCAATTATTTTTAAGACAATTTTAAAAAAATGTCTCTATAAAATTCAATTATTTTAAAATTTTAATGAAATTCTTCGAAAGAATTCAATTATTATAGTCTAATATTTCAACTGAAATCTATTTTTAAATCAATATATTTATGAGAAAGTTCTACCAGAATTCAATTATTTAAATATAAAAATAATTTATTGAATAATTGAATGTTTCTTTGAATTCAATTCCTATTAAAAATTTTATTAACAAATTTTTAAATAACTCAATTCTTTGGACGAATTTTAATAACATTTTTAAGAATTTTTTCGAGGAATTCGATTAAAATTCTATTCAATATAATTAAATTACTGTAAAAAATATTATTACTTTTTAAAATAATTGAATTTTTACAATGGATTTTATTAAAATTTTTGAAATTAATTGAATTTTGTCGAAGAATTTTGCTATTTATTTGTAAAGATAATTGACATGTTGACCATTTTTTTTAGATTTTTCGAAAATAATTGAATTTTTGAGACAAATTTTAATATTTCTAAAGATAATTGAAATTTTGACAAGAATTTAAAAAAATTTTTGAACATAATTGAATTTTTGCGGAAAATTTTATTACTTTTAAAAATTATTAACTTTCTGCAATCATTTGTAATTTCTTTAAAATTCTCAAAATTATATTATACAATTTACGAACTTTTCATCCTTTTTAAATAAAATTACAGACTTTACGGACCTTTTTTTTAAAGAAACAGACTTTTATGGACTTCAAGCAAAGTTACGGACTTTTTCAGGATTTACGGTCCTACTTCGAGTCCTAAAAATTGTTTAATCAAGTTTTTATGTATTATAATTTATTAATTTATGTACAATATATACACTGAAAAAAAAGTTCTGGTTGGAATTACCAGAAAACCTGTTTTTAACTAGAATTTCGTGTTAAATATGCCCTAACTAGATTTTTTCTGGTTAGGTTAACCAGAATTCTGGTTGTTTTAACTAGAATATCGTGTTAAATATACCCTAACCAGAACTTTTTTTTCAGTGTATGTATGTATTTAAGATATATTGTGTATTATAATTATATTATTTTATAAATTTTCTTTTTATATGTAGATGCCAAGGGAAGCAAAGGTAAATCATAATGAAGCAGTGGATGCTTTACTTAAACATGGCGATGAATTACGTGTAATAATTCAAACAACCAACCAGTTACCAGCTCGTTCTTCTCAATTTTATAAAGACGTCAGTAAAACTTTAGAGGAAAAATGGACTGCACAAGATATATATAGAAATTTAAGAGAAGACCGAAAAAATTTGAGGACTAAAATTTTCGAAAAATTGGTCATTTCTTTTACTGCTGAAAAAAAGGAACTTCATGATCAATACTCAGATGACAACCAGGAATTCGAGGAAATCGACGAGTCATTAGATTTTTCCGATAAAGATGACGACGATTTTCGCATTAGAGATAATTGGTTTTCAAAAAATGAAGATACCTTCCAACTTTTAATCGAGTCAACAGATTATATAAATATGCAGCCAACAAAAAAAATTACAAAGGTCGTGAGGTACTTGTTTTGGAGCCAGGAGTGTGGTCGAACATTGTTAACGACAAATTTTTTGAATTTTATAAATTACCTTGTGCCTACACATTTAAAAAAGCAACAGTATCTAGAAATCCATGTAATTATTTCATAAAAATCATTGGCAATTGCAAAAGTAAAACTTGTAACAATTCATTTTTTGCTACCGCAGAAGAAGAACCACCTCCTGGCTCTGGTTTGGTATTACAAGTCCACACTAAAGACATGGCTGGATGTCGAGACCATGAACAAATAAAACGACAATTACGCAATAGAAAGCGACAATTAATTGGGGAAAAAGTTTTGATGAAAGGTGCAGCGAATACAAGGCGCGAATTGTCGAAAAAAGAAATACCTTTAGGGACAGTAAATTCAGCTACGGTGTACAATTAAATAATAAAAAACTTTTATAATTAATAATTAATTTTTATAAAAAAATGTTGATTCGAATACGAACTATAGTTGAATTCTTCGAATAGTTCGAATTCGAACCTTTTTAGTTCGAATTTGAATCGAATCTTGCTGATTCGATTCGAATTCGAACTATTCGCACATCTCTAATACCTATTTTAAAAGATAATAATTAATAAAGAATAATTCTTTACTTTGAAAGGTATGAAATGTTTCGCAGGCTTGGTTTGACACCCTCATCAGATCAACAAAAACTTTTCAATATAAATTCAATTGATTAAACTCACCAAAATTCAAGTCCTGCTTCTTTATCAAATCCTTTTTTGCCACGATGGTAACGATACTTAGCATCGTAACAACGGGCTGCAGATTTATATAAATCTACTGGATTTATTCGAACTCTATGAGTTACCTGTGGACCTGGCTCTGGCAGTTTTCGTGATTGAACATTATTTTTCACCAAATATGCTTTCTATATTAAATTATTAATAAAGTGAAATATACTTTAAAAGTGGGGAACTGAATTCTAATTATTGTATTGTACTTTATTTACTACTAACTCAATTTATATTATTAATAATTTTATTTATTTTAAATTTTATATTCACTCGGCAAAATAATTATTTAAAAATTGATGGTTAATTTAAAGAACCCCGCACCGCATACATGGGAATTTGGGATCCGGTGAAATTTCTTGTAACTTTGTAGTTTAGTAGTTTTTGACCTCCTGAACAAAAAATGTTAATGACAAAACTGAAAAAAATGGACAGATTTTTTGTTATTTAAGGTTACAGTTTAAACAAATACATTGTAAGATATTGAAAAGTTGAATCATTCTGGAATGATTAAAACATTAAATAACGGAATAAACTTGCTTGAACTTGACACTTGGTGTTTTTTGGGTCAGTTATTGTACTTTTGATGTTATTTTTGAAAAATTAAAAATGGCGTATCCAGTATGGCGGACGACTATTTTGAAAAAAAAATACTTTAATTCATTTGAAAGTCGTTCCTTGGGGTTTATTAGTGCCGCTGCTTATGAAGATTAAGTTATTTTTGAGCAATTCAAAAAGCTAATTCTGATATGGCAGACGACTATTTGAAAAAATACTTTATTTCACTTAAAAGTCGCCTCTTGGGTATTTTTAGTGTCGCTGATTACGAATTTCAAGTCAGTGCTTAATCTCACTGACTTAAATATACAAAATGTATCTTCTTTTATGTGTTTTCTTAAACTACATGCTTATTTGTATACGTAAGGTTGCGATAATATATCTTTAGCAGCACTACAAAGCGCAATACGCTCATTTTAATGCAGATAGACGACGGTATATAGATTCTCATATAATCAACTTGTAAATAGAATCCCTTATAAGATCATATATAAAAAATGTGATATCCAATTGGTTTCATACATATGTGAATTAACAAATACTTAAAATCTCTCGTGTGATCCTATAAGAGATGTTATCTGAGTTCTTACATCGATTCTCATATAAGGAAACAAAAAGGATCCCTTGTAATATATTATGTAAAATATATGCTATTATAAATGGGATTACATAATAAGTTTAAAAAGGATCTTATACTTTTTGTTTAAGATTTTTTTAAGGGATTCTATTTGTAAGTTCCTTTTTTAAGAATCTATGTAGGAACCCATATATAACTGGGATAGGATCCAATGAATCTTCCCACAAACGTTTATGTGGTGCTGTTTCGTTTATATAGGAACTTCCATAAGTTATTCATATACATTATGCTTACATATAGATATAATATATAGGATATTGCGATGAAAAATAAAAACTGTTTTTATAAAATAAAGACTATTGCGCAGTCAAAGGCAAAGTATCCTTCACGAGCTCTTATACAAGTTCCTCCTAGAATTCTTAAGATCGTCTGTGGAACATTCTCTAGAACACGCTAACACGCGCTAGAACAAAAACGTAATATATTATACTATATATAGTAATGATCGATTACTTTATCATTTAGATTAGATTTTTATATTGAACTTCAATCTGAAAGTCACATCGACTTTGACACCCCACTAAATGAAATAAAAAATTATTTTATTTTCAGAGGTGAATATTGAAGAATAATTCATGTCTTTGAAATATAATAATATTCATTTTTTCAATAAAAATGTTTATCTTTTCGGTATCTTTCTTTTATTTAATATACGCCGCCGTTGTCGCTGAAAATAAATCAGAGTTCATTTGTTTTTGTCATCGTTGAATATCTTACCTTGCAGGAAATATTCCTCTTCATTTAATATAGGCCGCCGTTGTCGCTGAAAATAAAACAGTGTTCATTTGTTTTTGTCATCGTTGAATAACTTACCGTGTAGGAAATATTCCTCTTCATGTAATATAGGCCGCCGTTGTCGCTCAAAAAAATCAGAGTTCATTTGTTTTTGTCATCGTTGAATAACTTACCGTGTAGGAAATATTCCTCTTTATTTAATGTACGTCAATCTTTTATAGAATAATTTAAAAAATGGCATTTAGAATTCGACTGAATTGTTATGTATGTGATATACTATATAGACCAAATCAAATGGCTCGAATAGATAGTGACGAAAATATTCTTAAAAGAGACATTGCAATACGTAGACGTGATGAACGTAACTTACTACCAGCTGCTATAACTGATCGAACAAGACTGTGCATTAATTGTAATCAGTCTATTCGACTAGAAATAGAAGCAATTGAAATTGATCCTAGATGTAACAGACTTAACGTTTTAACTCGAAACCACTATCGAACTTGTCTGCTTTGCAATACTGATGTTAATCTTCATAGAAAGTCTATTGAAAGCCGTGTTAATATTTTTGTAAATGTGAATATTTACGTTCCGGGTGACGTAAGAATTTGTAATCTACATATAGATGAAAATGGATTTGTATTCCGAGCTTTGCAAGATGGGCTGCAATTCATTAACAGACCATACATTATAGATGGTCAGGAATTACAAATTGTTCTGCAATTGTTGCGTGGTTTAGTTGTAGATAAAAAACAATTTGTTGACGTTGATTCTATTAGCGATGAAGAGTTTACATCTTTATCACCTATAAGTAAAGTACAATTCAATGAATTATATGAGTTTTGTAGACCAGTACCTCGTAATGATCGAGGTTTTAGACATGTCTCCAAACGAGATCTTTTAATGTTTTTGTGTAAGATGAAGGAGGGTCTAGCAGACGATTTTCTAAAAGTTATTTTCGCATACTCAAGCAGACAAGCTGCAAGTTTGACTGTGGATACTGTTAGAAAATCGTTGATGCAGATTTTTGTTCCACAAAACATAGGGTTTGATGCAATTACGCCACACCAGTATGTGGCAGAGCACGTTACAGAATTTGCAAACGCACTATATAATCCAAACCCAGAAATTCCAAGAGTAATCGAATGCATGGATGGTACCTACAGCTACATTCATAAAAGTACAGTCGGGTCCCCATACTGTTACATTTCCAGAAATTTCCCACTCCTCCAGACTCAGCTCTGTTATGTGCTCAAAGTATGCCTACTGCGCACCTTTCAGGAACGTAAATATATAAACCTCAAGTTTGGCCTAGAAGTATATGCCCCTTTTCTTTGGGCTTAATAATACGGCCCTGAAAATTGGTGACGTCACCTAACACTTCTGAATTTGGAGGTTATGCAAAAACATAACACTACTGAGGACATATCAGTTTGGAATCTAACAGTATGGGGACCTGACTGTAGTAACTTTCGAGCTTTACGACAATCATTTTGCCTTCACAAAAGTTCCCATTTACTGAAGCCAGTTTTAATTGTAGCACCAGATGGTTACATTTTGGCAATTCAAGGTCCATACTTCTCTGACAGCAGAAACAATGACGCCTCCATACTGCGTAACGAGTTTGACAGAGACAATGACCGAATGAGTGAATGGTTTCAGGAAGGTTCTATTATGATTGTGGACAGAGGCTACCGCGATGCGACAGAGATGCTTACGAACCGTGGAATTATCTGGAAAATGCCTGCACTCCTTCGGCCACCACAGCGTCAGTTAACAACTGATGAAGCAAACCAATCACGACTGATAACAAAGAGCCGATGGATTGTAGAAATGCGAAATGGACATCTTAAAACTATGTTCAAGTTTTTAGGAAACATAATATTACATCCGCATATTCACAATCTTAATGAATTCTACCAAATAGCAGGTGCAATTATTAATCGATTCCATCCGACAATCCATATAGAAGGAGCAAACGCAGAATTGGCAGCGCGAATGCTAAGAAGAGCTCAAGAAGTGAACGTTGTGCAGCAACTTGTAGAAGTTGAAATGCTTCATACAAGGAATGCACGTCGCTGGATTGCACTAAATGCAGCATTACTGCCTGACTTTCCAGAATTAACCATTCAGTACTTAAAGGACTTGACTTTTGGCGTCTATCAAGTAAGATTGGCACCATCATACGTTCAAGACAAAATCCAGCGTCAAAATGAGGAAGAAATATTTGTAGAAGTACAAAATCCACAAAATGAAAGAGCTATTCCTGGTCTATTAAGAATGAAAAAAGGCTCTAGATTTAGAAACATAACATTACATCAGTTATGGATAGCATACAAACCTGTGGAAGAACAGCATAGAGATGATGCAGAAGTAAATGAAGAAGGTCCTATTATTGGTTACTATTGCACATGTAAAAGTGATGCTCGTACACTTGGTACATGTGCACACGTAGCAAGTGTTCTTTGGTTCTTAGGATATGCCCGAAATGAACAAAACGTTCATTATCCATCATCTAGAATATTTGAGACAATAATGGACGCAGGAAATAGGCCTCCACCAGTAAATCCAATCAATTTCATTGAACGAATGGAAGATTCCGATTAAATTAAACAACACTATCACCTTTGCGATATTTGAAATTGATAAATAACTCACCTGATATATTCTTTTCCTTTTAATGTCCGTCGTCGTTGTTGTTGCACCTGAAAAATAACCTAATTAATTTTTTAAATCGTTGATTTTCATACCTGTTGGTTCGCTTTCCTTCCCTTTCAATGTACGCAGCCGTTGTTGCTGCATCTGATAAATAAGGTATATTATTTAATCATTGACTTGTTGTTTGATGTTTCTACCGTTGTGATGTACGCCACCGTTGTTCCTGCATCTGAAAAATAACCTAATTACTTTATTTAATCATTAACATACTTGTTGTTTGATGTTTCTTCCCTTTCGATGTACGCCGCCGTTGTTGCTGCACCTGAAAAAAAACCTAATTACTTTTTTAAATCGTTGATTTACTTACCTGTTGGTTCACTTTCCTTCCATTTGGATGTACGCCGCCGTTGTTGCTGCATCTGAAAAATAAGGTATTTTATTTAATCATTGACTTGTTGTTTGATGTTTCTACCGTTGCGATGTACGCCGCCGTTGTTGCTGCACCTGAAAAAAAACCTAATTACTTTTTTAAATCGTTGATTTACTTACCTGTTGGTTCACTTTCCTTCCATTTGGATGTACGCCGCCGTTGTTGCTGCATCTGAAAAATAAGATATATTACTTAATTATTGACTAACTTGTTGTTTGTTTCTTACCTTTCGTCGTACGCCGCCGTTTTTGTTACATCTGAAAAATAATATTTTTTTGTCTACTTACTTGTTATATGATATATTTTTTCTTTCGTTATTCATATATCTATTGTTCACTATTGTTCACTATGTATTATTCACTATTGTTGCTACAAATTTTAAAGACACCACTTGTTTGTAGATTGGTTGTTGTTTTATTTGACTTCTTTAAATAATGACATAAAATTCATGATCAGCAATCCCTACTTTTTGAATTTCTCAAAAATAACTTGAAATTCGTAATCAGCGACACTAAAAATACCCAAGAGGCGACTTTTAAGTGAAATAAAGTATTTTTTCAAATAGTCGTCTGCCATATCAGAATAGGCTTTTTGAATTGCTCAAAAATAACTTAATCTTCATAATCAGCGGCACTAAAAAACCCCAAGGAACGACTTTCAAGTGAATTAAAGTATTTTTTTCAAAATAGTCGTCCGCCATACTGGATAAGCCATTTTTTATTTTTCAAAAATAACATCAAAAGTACAATAACTGACCCAAAAAACACCAAGTGTCAAGTTAAAGCAAGTTTATTCCGTTATTTAATGTTTTAATCATTCTAGAATGCTTCAACTTTTCAATATCTTACAATGTATTTGTTTAAACTGTAACCTTAAATAACAAAAAATCTGTCCATTTTGCTTCCTCATAAAAGAAGCCTTATAGTGATGTCGATTTCCGAATTTTTTAGAACCAATTATTTTTACAAATTTTCAAGTGTAGTATATATAATTCGTCGAGAGGAACAAATGTCCGGATGTATGTGTGTGTGTATGTATGTGTGTGTGTATGTCACCGATTCTTGTGAACAAATTTTCTCTTACACGTCTTGACGGATTTTGATAAAATTTTGTAGGTGTATTACGGTCACGAATACCAAAAATCAGACAAAAGGATTTTCAAAAATATTTAAAAAAAAACATTTTTCAACAATTTTGTAATTTTTTAAAAAATAATTTTTGGATTTTTTAAAGTAACTTTTTTCTATATTAAAATTTTTATTAATTCTTGTCAAAATTGCATTCCTGACATAAAAACGAATCGATTCATGTATATAAAGTATATATTTTATCAAAATTTATAGAATTAATAAATATTTTAAATTTTCACAAAAAATTGAAATTTTGTATTTTTTGACATTTTATCTTAACACTTTAAAATAATTATTCTAAAATAAAAAATTAAACAATTGGTATATATTATATTGAGGAAGCTTAATGATCATGAAATGAACAACTTGTTTTTCAGTTTTGTCATTAAATTAATAATTATTAAAGAAAAAATAAATTTGTAATGATAAAAAGCGCCGCGAGATGGCAGCTACTGATGGACCAATAAAAAAATGTTTATTTAAAAGTAGCCATCAGCTCTGGTTTTCGAGAAAAACGGAGTTTAAAAGTCAAAAAATCGCGTTTTTGCAGAAGTTACTACGACCTTTCGTTTCATTGCTGGAGGTGCTCAAACTTTGCCAAAATCGCGATTTTTTGCCTTTTTAACTTCGTTTTTCTCGAAACCCACATCTGATGGCTAATTTTTATTGAGGGATTTTTTATTAGCGTGAAAAAACCTATCATAAACAGCTTTAACATTTGCCGCACCAAATTCAGTGTCAGCCTGTTTCGTTAAGTACATAAACAAATGCATAGCTTTGCGTAAATTCTGAGTTTTTGATCGAAAATTACATTTTTATTGATATCTCGAAAAAAGGAACAGCTAAAATTTTTGAAAAAATTGCAATTTACTACATTTCATGTATTTTATTTTAGGGCACCAGTTTGATGAGACTTAAAATTGTTGAGGAAAGGTGTGACATGTTTATATATAAGATTAAATGAGCAACTTGGCATTATTCTTTCATGAAACGGGCAAAAAGTTGTCGTTATTCATTTGTTTTTAATCTGTAGTAGATGTTCATTTGTTTTCAATATGTAGTAGATGCTCATTTGTTTTTTAATATATATAACTCATTTGTTTTCAGTATATATTAGATGTTCATTTGTTTTCAATATGTAGTAGATGCTCATTTGTTTTTTAATATATATCTCATTTGTTTTCAGTATATGAGGCATTTTACGTCAAATGTCCTAAGTTGAAATTTCAACTTTTTGAAAAAAAATTGAAACTCGAGGAATTTGTTGTTCAATCAAGTAGAAATGTGACCCAAAAAATATTTTTTCGAAAAATTGGTGGGGGTAGAGGGGGTCAATTTGACCAATTTTGCCAACACCGGATACTTTGTGAATTTTTTCTGAACATACTTGTAATGGGAAAAATTTTTTAGAATATGTTTCTGAAAGGTTTTTTCGTCCTCTTTCCAATGGTGTATTTTATTTTTTAATATTTTAAAAATTTGCCCTATATTTTGTTAATTAATATTTAATTTTTAATTTCCCAAAAATCGGTCCGTTTTCTTTAAATTATTATTATTATTATTTATTATTATTATTATTATTATTTATTTAAATTATTTTAAATTTTTGAGGTTTTTTACTATCGGCATGTAAATTTTTAGATTGCCCTTTTTTTGTTTTTGAGTTATTAAATTTCGTAGAATAATTTGCGGCGCGCTGCGTCGCGGTTGCACTGAGCCGCGTGGTAACCGGCGTGAGACAAGGCGCCCGGGACGCAATTTATTCTTTGAAATTTAATAACTCAAAAACAAAAAAAGGGCATTCTGAAAATTTACATGCCGATAGTAAAAAACCTCAGCTTTCGTTTGCAATAATTTATTTTCAAAAAAAACCGACCGATTTTTAAGAAATTGAAAATTAAATATTAATTATCAAAAATTAGGGTAAATTTTTAAAATATTAAAAAATAAAATACACCATTGGAAAGAGGACGAAAAAACCTTTCAGAAACATATTCTAAAAAATTTTTCCCATTACAAATATGTTCAGAAAAAATTCACAAAGTAGCCGGTGTTGGCAAAATTGGTCAAATTGACCCCCCTCTACCCCCTCCAATTTTTCGAAAAAATCAAAAATATTTTTTGGGTCATATTTCTACTTGATAGAACAACTAATTCCTCGAGTTTCAATTTTTTTCAAGATATTCAAGTATTTAAGTATGAAGTAGATGCTCATTTTTTTCAGTATGTATTAGATAGTCATTTGTTTTTAATCTGTAGTAGATGTTCATTTGTTTTTAATCTGTAGTAGATGTTCATTTGTATTCAATCTGTAGTAGATGTTCATTTGTTTTGTCAGCTGTTACGAAACTTCAAACTTGTATTCTGCCATTTATCTTTAATTTCATCATTACAAAATAATATACATATAATAATACACTCGACTCTCGGATCTTTTGCACTTATGGGACCAAATCCTCTCATATTTTTTACCAAAACAAATGCCATGGTAACGCAAAACAATGCAATTTGTATAACCAAATATATAAATTAATGACAGTATTTATGTTTTAGTTCTAATATTTACATTTATAGTAATTCAAATTTTAATGTAATTTTAATCTCATAATGGAGGAGCTGCTATAATTCACTTTAGATGACCTAAGTTATCGTTAAATAAATATTTTGACCCTTTGATAGTCATTTATTTATTTAATGTAAAAGATAAAAGGTGAGGGAGAAAAATTGTAAAAGGATCGAGTGTAAAAGATCTGAATGCAAAAGATCCGAGAGTCGAATATAATATATGAGCAATTTTAAATGAAATTTTGACATTTTAACAGAGGTTAAACATATTTTTTCTGGTTCTTTATAAAAAAATATGAAATAGGTATTTTTTTATTTGTATAAATTGACCAAATTTTCGAGTTATGAATTTTCGAAATTTAAGATTTTTAAAAGTAGACCTATTTTCAGTAGCATATAACTTTGAAAGTATTGAGTTTAAAAGTTAAAGTTGAAGTTTAAAAAAAGTTGTCAAAGAAAGAAAATTAAAGTAGACCTAAAAGTAGACATATTTTCAGTAGCATACAACTTTGAAAGTATTGAGTTTAAAAGTTAAAGTTTAAAAAAAGTAGTCAAAGAAAGAAAATTTTAATATTTTTCAACTTTTAAGTAATGTACACTACCATACCGTCCAAAAGTATCAGGACGATTACACGCGACTGTATAAAAAAAACCATCGCCTATTCACTCATATCTCGTAAATAAAAGGAGATGCAAAAAAAACTTAAATACGGTTAAAAAGCTGATTAAATTTTGCGTAAAATAACACAGGCACACAAAAAAATAAAAAAGTCAAAACCCAGAGGTCACACCCCCCTATCCCCATGTTTTTGGGGTCGCTAAAA